GTGCGCGAGTCCTGCGTCTGTCCCTGGCGTGCGCGAGTCCTGCGTCTCCCTGAGTTGTCATCCCCTTCGAGGAAGCACCATTGCTGCTGTTTGTGTTAAGGCTCTTCCGTAGGGTAAGACTGCCCCATCAGAGCGTGATCAGTGACTGCTGTGTCTCTGGACACTCCCACTGCTCCTGAGAAGGAAAACGTGCCTCTTATTTGGGGCAGCATGCTTTGCTTCCAATGGGCACAGAGGTCTTCTTGGTTTAGTTTTATTTTCATCAGCATTTCAGAGGCTATGTGCCCGGGACATGGAAACCAGGCTGAGCACTCTCATGTGTCAGCAGATTAAAGGGTTATCTTATTACCTGGAAAACCTCAGACTGCAGCTCTCAACTTCGGAAGGGCTCCCCGGTCGGTCCATCTCCCTGGGCACTCATCTCCCAACAAGGAGGCCCACATGGACCCAGAGGGCGTTGTGGGCCCAGGGTCACTCACCCCTGGTGGCTGACCCCCAGAGCCCGGGTCTGACCCCAGCTCCCACTGCTCAGACGTCTGCCTGAAGTTTTAGTGAAAATGTCTGAATTACTGTGATGATCGGTGATTTTAGAAAGTGTGAAACAGAAAGGTCTGCAGGACTACATTCAAACCATAGTGCCAGCTATCCCAGTGGACGGCCCCCCTCTCCCCTGGCTCCAGGCTCTGCTTGCTCCTGCCGTGTGCCCTGTCCACACCCGCATGAAGCTTCTCCAGTGTCTCGTGCACACCAGCTCCCGGGGATCTGAATCTGGGCATCAGGTGGGGCCTGAGCTCAGCATTTCTCACACGCTCTGGGTGCTGGAGGGCTCGGGCCATCCCCAGGCCATTCCCAGCCCGTCCCCGGGCCGTCCCCCAGGCCATCACCAGACCGTCCCCAGACTGCCCTGAGGCCATCCCCAGACCATCCCCAGACCGTCCCCAAGGCTGTCCCCCAGACCATCCCCAGGTCATCCCCCAGGCCGTCCCCAGGCCATCCCCAGACCGTCCCCCAGGCCATCACCAGACCATCCCCCGGGCCATCCCCAGAGCCATCCTCAGCCCGTCCCCAGGCCATCCCCAGATTGTCCCCAGACCGTCCCAGGCCATCCCCAGACCATCCCCGGTCTGTCCCCCAGACCATCCCCAAACTGTCCCCAGACCTTCCCCCAGGCCATCCCCAGGCTGTCCCCGGGCTGTCGCCCATGCCATCCCCATACCGTCCCCAGACCATCCCCCGGGCCATCCCCCCAGGCTGTCCCCAGCCTGTCCCTAGACCATCCCCGGGCTGTCCCCCAGGCCATCCTCAGGCCGTCCCCAGACCATCCCTGGACCATCCCCCGGGCTGTCCCCAGACTGTTTCCAGACCATCCCCAAACTGTCCCCAGACCTTCCCCCAGGCCATCCCCGGACCGTCCCTGTACCATTCCTGGGACAGGCGGCACTCAGCAGGCCATCCTCGGGAAACCTCCATGGTGTGAGCTGCTCAAGGAGGGGAGGCTCAGAAGTGTACAACACGACAGAATTTCCAAGGATCTTGAATGACTTGTTCACACAGATGAATTCATTCTCTTCCAATGGCCCTTTGTTTTGGAGCTTTGGATTTAGTGCACTGACTTTCTGCTTCTTTCTTCAGCTGCCCAGCCCCACACACAACGCTGTGACTCGGGGTCTTCGGCTGCTGGTCAGCCCTGTAAATGTGTGCTCATGCTCCCCCACAAGGGCTCTTGTCCTCAGGGATGGGAGGCGTGTTAGTGTTAAGTTAGATGCTGAAGGTTCTGAGTCCCTGAATTGCAACTACACTCATGTTGCTTAAAGTTACACGTTTTTAATGTAAGCATGCCCTTGAAATATGCCTGTAAGAAGATAAAAAACGGTCCCTCAGCTGCATCTTGAGAAGCTACTACACTGCTCTTTGGGCTGGAAGCTTCCAGAAGGCAGGACGTGTGGGAGGTTCAGAAGTGCCCAGTTGCACTCCGTTGAGAAGTGGCCTCTCGGCTGAGGTGGTGTCATAAGGGCCAGTGTGTGTCCTGGGTTCCTGACGGCAGGGGTCTGATGTCACCAGCTGCTATAACCCTCAGGCGAGTGGGAAGCCAGCACCCACAGCTTCATCGTGAGCACTCTCCGCTAGAATGGGACCGGCCGCATCGTCCAGAAGTCAGCTGGTCATGGGCCTGAGTCAAGGCTGCAAAACCTTTCCCGGCAGCACACAGCTGAGTGTTTGAGGAACTGCAGACACAGACTCCCAAGTGGGCACAAAACTGACCGTGACAGACAAAAGGCAGCATGTGGCCAGTGCTGCCAAGGTCTGAGCCGGAGCCCAGAGCATGAAGGAGGTGGGAGACAGCGCGGCGTCTGAGGGTGTGAATCCTGGGGGACGCGAGGGGCGCCTTCATAAGAGCTATGGGGCCTGCACGCAGCTCTGTGTCGTTCACCAGATCCTGACAGGAGATGGGAGCGGCAAAGTTTAAGAACCACAGATATGTGCAAATATGTGTATCCCTAGCCCTCGGCCCCCGCAGAGTCTAGGAGATGCCTGTTAGATGTCCACAGTCAGACTCTGGAATCTCTGGCACTTTCTGGTTGGAAATGAAAAGATATCAGAAGATGCTGTGACACCCAGTGCTGGCAGGTCAGCAGCGGGGAGGTCATCCAGCCCTGGGCCCTGGCCCCTCAGCAGGCCCCCCGGTGCCCTGCAGGGATCCCCACCCTGCCTCCAGGGGGCTGACGGGAGCTCTCAGCCACATGGCAGGAGAGATCAGATGCACAAACAGTGTCGTTGGTCCCGTTTCCCTGTTGGGAAAAAGAATGGAAAGAAGTGTGTCTGGGTGGGCTTCTGTTCCCAGTTTCTGTCTGTAAGGAGGATGGAGAGACTGGGGTTTCCAGAGGCTTCCTTCACTGGCTCTGGCAGCTGTGATGGCAAGATCTCGGACAAGCACCCCGGTTTTTCCCAAGATGAGACCGCACTCCCCACAAGGACTGCCTGTACCAGCTTTCCTTGTGTGGCCCCCGTGGCATGGAGCACGTGACCCTGTGAAGCTACAGCCAGTGCTCGTACCCTGTGAGCGGACAGCGCAGCCTCAGACGCTGCACCTTTCAGGCAGAGTGATGCTCATACAGCGGGCATTTAAAATAGGCTCTGCATTGAAACTTCTGAAGAGTTTGTCACCAATGCTGACAGTTTATAGAGAGTGAGAGATGTTCAGATATGTTGTTTTCCATACTGAAAAAAACCCCCACAATTCTTTAATGGAATTGTTTGGGGTGGTTCTTTGTGCATAGGTGCAAATGGACCACCAAGTCTAGGGATGCATAAGGAATTTGGAGAAAATGCAGACTGTGTCATTTTGTCTTAATCTGAATTGAAACAACATTGGTTTGCAGTTTTATAAATTTTATAAATTTCTAGGTTAGAGTTCTTCTTGCTGACCTTATAATTAAATTCACTTGATGTTCTGTTCCCACGCTCAGGAGAAGCTGCCTGCTCGTGCTGCATTTTTGTCCCAGCCACGCAGAGAGACTGAGTGACCCGTGCGGTTGCTCCTGCATTAAGCATAGACTAGGGATGTCACAAGTCTTGTTCACCCAGAGCAAAATCAGCAGGGTTGTTGCTGCGGGGCTGGGTTGTTTACTTTTTCTTTTTTTTTTAAATCATGACCTACAAAAATCTTAATTTGCAGTTGCTGGTTGGTTATGTCCATTATGTTGTAGGTTGTTTGGAAAGAATGAAATGGATGCTAAATGTATGCTTGTCGTTGGTTATAATTTTTTAAGGCCATTTACAAGGAAACCATATAATTATGAAGGAAAGGCCCTTGGTGACACTTCATAAACCGGGTCATTGCCTATTCACTGCAGAACTTTTGGGGTGTCTGATGTTGGGTGCCATGAGGCAGCTCCCAGCATAACATTCATCCAGCCACTGACTGGACATTGCCGAGTGGAGGTCAGCTCTGGGACAGGCGTTAGGGTGAGTCAGGGACCAGCTGTCTCTGGCCTGGGCCTTCCCTGTGGGAGTCTCCTGCGCAGAGGGGGGAGAGCTGTGAGTGCATGGTTTCAGGAAGGCAGGAAGAAGGTGGGGGTGCCCCATAGGAGAAGCGGGAGCACCTTGCAGAGGTGTGTGCATCCTACAGCTTTTCCAGCATGGTGGATGGCCCCTCCACTGTGGCCTCGGACATCGGGCTGATGGTGGGACTTCCTACATTCCTGATGCCACCGAGGGAGTCCCCAGGGGGCTCAGGAGGGTTCGGCAGTGACCTGGCCTTGCTCTGTGTCAGCAACAAGCTCATGAACATCCCGCCTGGTGGGCGCCGAGTTGTGGGGAGCTGGGCGGGGCTGGCAGGCACCTCCTCTTCTGAGGGTGTGCCAAGAGGGCTGTCGCCTCTCTGTCCTTCTAACGCGTGAGCCCTGTGCTCAGTGCACCCTCACCCCACCTTAGAAGAGGAGCTGCTGCTGGCTCCATTCCCACAGGAGCCCACAGTAATGGTTCACTGAGCGACACGCCATCTCAGCGGGCTGACTCAGCCTGTGTCCTGGGAGCGGTATGGGCACCTGAAGAGCAAGCACGGTCACTTCGAAGGGGACAGGGAGGAGTTTACCCCGACACGTGGGTTGAGAGACGGTGGACCCACTGTTGGCATCTGTGTGGCTCATTCAAAGCACGTGGTAGGTGGCATCCTTGCTTCTCGGTTGGCTCCCCAGGAGCAAG